CCCTAGTCACCATTTTTTTCTTTCTTTAAACTCTTTTAAAATTTTATTTTTTCCTTCATCTTTAAAAACCCTTTTTTTATCTTCCTATCACAATCTTTTCTCTTTCCCAAAACCTTTTCTTGTCCTTTCTGTCTTTTTCTTTCTTTTCACCACCCCTCCTCTCCTCCCTTTCTAAAAACAATTTCTTTTGTTTTTGTTTTTGCTCTTATTTTCTTTATTTTTGGGAGAGTTGTTGCTTCCAATATCTCAATGTCCTCTTTGGATGTTGAGATCCATCAAACACAATGCCATCTGAACCTTCAAGCGAAACTCGCTGAAGATGAAAGCAGCAAATGGCAGAAATATCACAAATCTCAAGACAAGACTTAGTTTAGGAATTGTTGTAATTTGAATTGTACTTTGTTTAAGAGTTTTTGTTAATAAGCTGTATATTATGAGAAACTAAAACAAATTTATAAAATTAGTTCTCAGTACAGCGACCAGAACTCTTAAACACCTGTTTGTCATCATCAAAAAGGGGAAATTGTTTGGAAAAATATTATAGATTTTGATGATGATGTATTTAGATTGTAATAGGGACTTTAGGTCACCCCGAATATTCAATGTAATTTTTCTTTTTAGAAATATTGTTAAAACCAAGTTCTTGAGATTTCCAATAAAGCTTGTGATATTTCTCTCTGTGGTTTGATGTCAATCTTTGAAGACTTAATCAAATTCAGTGATATAGAAAGTTGGAATTCTTGATTAGAAATGTCATAGACAAGTGAGGAATTTTCAAAGCATTTGGTTACTGTGAACAATTTCAAATCTGCTGAAGGCTAAGTCATCCAGATCGGAAGACTAGCGCGGATTTCTTGTTAGAATGAGTGCCCTTCACTAGAAGGGGGTGAATAGTGAGGCAGGAGAATGTTTATAAATTTTCGCGGAATAAAAATCGCAGGGATAAAGTAAAGAATGTAACAAGTAAAGAGCGTAAAAAAGCGTAAAGAGAGAACACCAAGATTTATACTGGTTCACCACAACGTGTGGCTAGTCCAGTCTCCCGAGAGACTCTCTCGAGCTACACTACTTCCGTTAAGCTTACGGGTGCTTAACAAACCGTTACAACCTGAGAACTCGAGTCCCACGAGCCTCAATACACTTGCTCGGAGATACCGCACTCCAAGACTTCAACTCGAAGAAATATGCCCTTCCTTTGTACAACCAAGGGAACAAACCTCCCTTAAAGTGTTCACAACACTTAACCACTCAAGAACAAAAACTCTCTTAAAGAGTAGAATATGAGTAAACTAATTTAGATCAAGAACACACTCAATTTCTCAAGAAATGGCTCTAAAAAGCTATGTAAAAAGTTTATGAAATGATGCAATGTAAAGCTATGAAATGTGTGAGGAATGGTTGTGAAAAGTAGACCCAAGAGACCCCTTTTTATACCCAAAAACAAGGTGCAACGGTTGTGAAAAGATTGGGGTTGATTGGCTTGATTTGTGGAAATCAAATAAAAGTGGATCTACTGAAATCTAGCCCGACAGCGCTGTTCATATAGTGAACATCGCTGTTTTGGCTTTGACTTTCCTTTAAAAATGGCTAACGGTCA